GTTGATGTCTAACTTTAGACAGTCGACAGCAACACTGTGAAATACAACTGTCGTCGAGTTTTACCCTCGGTGAAGCCTCCAGGTCAACCTTACCACCCTCCACACAACATAAATCTACAAGTAACACTACAATATAAGAGGTAGAGGCTACTACACTATATTACCACCAGGTACGAGTAACGGCACACTGGTAATCACTGTATTACACTGCACTACACAATCTCACACCTCATTAACACTCATCAGGGGCAGTAATGATCATTAACGGTGCCGTTGCTTACCAAGAGAGCAAGTTTAGAGGTTATTTAGAGTAGTTTCATTGAGATTACGAGAGAGAGAGAGTGCAGACACGAGTGTAAACACAGAGCAATATGGCGACTGACTGACAGTGAGAGAGACACAGTCAGCACTCACTCGTCTACCTCAACCCCAGCGTCTCAACACTGACAGTGAGAGAGACACAGTCAGCACTCACTCGTCTACCTCAACCCCAGTGTCTCAACACTGACAGTGAGAGAGACAGTCAGCACTCACTCGTCTACCTCAACCCCAGTGTCTCAACACTGACAGTGAGAGAGACAGTCAGCACTCACTTGTCTACCTCAACCCCAGCGTCTCAACACTGACAGTGAGGGAGACACAGTAAGCACTTACTCGTCTACCTCAACCCCAGCGTCTCAACACTGACAGTGAGGGAGACACAGTAAGCACTTACTCGTCTACCTCAACCCCTGCGTCTCAACACTGACAGTGAGGGAGGCACAGTAAGCACTCACTCGTCTACCTCAACCCCAGCGTCTCAACACTGACAGTGAGAGAGACACAGTCAACACTCACTCGTCTACCTCAACCCCAGTGTCTCAACACTGACAGTGAGAGAGACAGTCAGCACTCACTCGTCTACCTCAACCCCAGTGTCTCAACACTGACAGTGAGAGAGACAGACAGCACTCACTTGTCTACCTCAACCCCAGCGTCTCAACACTGACAGTGAGAGAGACACAGTAAGCACTCACTCGTCTACCTCAACCCCAGTGTCTCAACACTGACAGTGAGAGAGACAGTCAGCACTCACTTGTCTACCTCAACCCCAGTGTCTCAACACTGACAGTGAGAGAGACACAGTCAGCACTCACTCGTCTACCTCAACCCCAGCATCTCAACACTGACAGTGAGGGAGACACAGTCAGCACTCACTTGTCTACCTCAACCCCAGCGTCTCAACACTGACAGTGAGGGAGACACAGTCAGCACTCACTTGTCTACCTCAACCCCAGCGTCTCAACACTGACAGTGAGAGAGACACAGCACTCACTCGTCTACCTCAACCCCAGCGTCTCAACACTGACAGTGAGGGAGACACAGTCAGCACTCACTTGTCTACCTCAACCCCAGCATCTCAACACTGACAGTGAGAGAGACACAGTCAGCACTCATTCGTCTACCTCAACCCCAGCATCTCAACACTGACAGTGAGAGAGACACAGCACTCACTCGTCTACCTCAACCCCAGCATCTCAACACTGACAGTGAGAAAGACACAGTCAGCACTCACTCGTCTACCTCAACCCCAGCGTCTCAACACTGACAGTGAGAGACACAGTCAGTACTCACTTGTCTACCTCAACCCCAGCGTCTCAACATTGACAGTGAGACACAGTCAGCACTCACTTGTCTACCTCAACCCCAGTGTCTCAACACTGACAGTGAGACAAACACAGTCAGCACTCACTCATCTACCTCAACCCCAGCGTCTCAACACTGACAGTGAGAGAGAGACACAGTCAGCACTCACTCGTCTACCTCAACCCCAGCGTCTCAACACTGACAGTGAGACACAGTCAGCACTCACTCGTCTACCTCAACCCCAGCGTCTCAACACTGACAGTGAGACACAGTCAGCACTCACTCGTCTACCTCAACCCCAGCGTCTCAACACTGACAGTGAGACAGACACAGTCAGCACTCACTCATCTACCTCAACCCCAGCGTCTCAACACTGACAGTGAGAGAGAGAGACACAGTCAGCACTCGTCTACCTCAACCCCAGCGTCTCAACACTGACAGTGAGACAGACACAGTCAGCACTCACTCATCTACCTCAACCCTAGCGTCTCAACACTGACAGTGAGAGAGAGAGACACAGTCAGCACTCGTCTACCTCAACCCCAGTGTCTCAACACTGACAGTCAGAGAGACACAGCACTCACTCGTCTACCTCAACCCCAGCGTCTCAACACTGACAGTGAGAGAGACACAGTCATCACTCACTCGTCTACCTCAACCCCAGCATCTCAACACCGACAGTGAGAGACACAGTCAGCACTCACTCGTCTACCTCAACCCCAGCATCTCATTACAGACAGTGAGAGAGAGAGTCAGCACTCACTCGTCTACCTCAACCCCAGTGTCTTAATACTGACAGTGAGACACAGTCAGCACTCGCTCATCTACCTCAACCCCAGCGTCTCAACACTGACAGACAGTGAGACACTCACTCGTCTACCTCAACCCCAGTGTCTTAACACTGACAGTGAGACAGTCAGCACTCACTCATTTACCTCAACCCCAGCATTTCAACACTAAACACAGTGAATAGAAGGAGCACCTTATGGGGAGACTTTTAGGTGTTCTTATTAGGTTCAAATGTCAGCTCATTTGATGAAGTTGTCCTTTGACCAGTAAATCTGATCCAGACTCCCACCTAACCAGGCTATTTAGAGCTAAGAATTCCTTCAGCATTCCCCAGACTCTACAATCTGTCTAGTTGTGGTTCCAGGAGACTTCTAAAGGACCCCAATGGAAATAAGTCACTCTGATTTTTTTGGGTTATCCTAGGTTCTCTACACATATGCTGCTATGTATGATAATCTATGTAACTGTATTTGTGTATACCTGATTAAACTTACTTATTCCATGAAAACCAAAGCTAATAGTAGATAAAAAAAAGTCTGCTCTAAGCTATGCCTAAATCTGCCATAAGTAACTTTTCGAGGTCAGTTAGTCATGGGGAACTGACCCCCATTAATTAAATAGATAACTGATACATATGAACTCTTATTATAATAATCAAAAGGAAGCGCTAAACCTGTATGAACTCTAAAAAGAACAAAAAAGGCATAGCCACTTCAAAGCTACTGTTAAAAAAATTCCTCCTTTCCTTAATGTGATCCTAACAACAATTCATTATACTGAACAATTCCTTCAACCAGTATTGTTCCTGCCCTTATCAATCATTCCTTCAACTCATGTACCTAGCTTCATCCTCAATATATCACTAATTATATCTTTTATTGACTTACTAAATACCTCCAATATCATAAAAGCTATGTATTCTTATTTTCATATACTAGTAATCATGATTTAGTTTAAAAGCTGCCCGAAATGCCTTGGCCTGGTGGCTAAAGCTCTCGCTTCACACAGCGTTTCCGTGTTCGATACCCGAAGAGGGTAGAAACATTGGGCGTGTTTCCTTACACCGGTTGTCCATGTTCACCCATCAGTAAAATGGGTACCTGGGTGTTAATCGACTGGTGTGGGTCGCATCCTGGGACAAAACTGACCTAATTTGCGGGAAATGCTCTGCATAACAAGCGGCTTTTTATATAGTATGTCACTGATGTTAGCTAGGCCTGTATACCTTGTACTTGTAGAAATAAAGGTATTATTATTATTATTATTATTATTATTATTATTATTATTATTATAAGGAGCTTTCTATGAGGTAGTTTATATATATATCAATCACCCTAATGTATAATATACTCTACTCCATGTTACAGAAATTTATTTATTTTTTTTTGTTGGTGCTAGCAGCACACCCAAGTTAGGGAGGCCTGTCAATAAACAGGACAATTTTTTTCCTGACATGAGTCTTAGTCGTATGATGACCCGCAGCTGGAGCCTTTGGTCATCTGATTGAGGCCTTCCGCTGGCTTACCTCTCCACTCCTTTAAAAAAAAAATATGGTTATAACCTCTCATAGCCCGGTTGATCATGAAGAGTTTTGAAGAACTCTTTGGGAAATTATGATGATACTGACAAAGCACTAACATACCTAACATTAATATCTCGTTGATGTAGGGGTTGATTTACAGGTTGACTTCATCACTGACACCAACTTCCTCTGATGTAATAATGGTAGAATTACTGACAAAATGTTGGGTAAAAGGACACAGATGCAACTGATGTGACATTTAATTAAAATGTCACATGAGTTGCATCTGTGGCCTTTTACATAACACTGATGTCACACATTATTAACTAGACTGACGGACTGATCACATCGATTATGAGGGAATGATTACCTCAAACTTCTTATGAACTTCAACCCTTCTCTGTACTGGACTGAGGAAGCCACTGCTTAGAAAAACGTTTCCACAATAATGATACCCAGTTTTCTGAACCATTTATCTACATAACTATTACCACGTCCCAGGTTCTGCACTGTATCACTCGTTTAGATCACTGGAGGTTTACTGCACTTACAGTTTAGTACGAACAGTGGGGACTATTTGTGTTTATAGCCAAGGAAGTTACTGAAGTAACTACTACAGACTAACCTGGATTATTATTATAATTAAAAAGAAGCGCTAGGCCACAAGGGCTATACAGCGGACTAACCTGGAGTTTACCTGGAGAGAGTTCCGGGGGTCAACGCCCCCGCGGCCTGGTCTGTGACCAGGCCTCCTGGTCAGGCCTCCTGATTTACATGACAGAAAATTTAAACGTTATGTCACTGACTTATCACATATTCATGACATTCTTCATAATTACAGGAGATTTTTCGTAGTTATGCCTTGTAAGTTAATTTAGGTACAGGTACACATAAGTACAATTATCATACCTAGTAACATGTGTAAATTACATAGGATGACCCCCCAAAAAAAGTAAGACGAAATGACTTACTTCGACTGGGGTCCTTGTAATGCCTCACATCTGGGAACATTTCCCCTGGCCTGCACACTTTAATATTAACGTTAAGATTGATGTGTGTTTACCTGGTGGAGTTTGTGGGGGACCTGAACACACAAGGCAACATCTAGGGAAGTTGATAACTTTGTACATGGCGGTGGCTGCTACAGTGATTCTTGAAGGCCTAGCTGCGTTGTCCACGCAGCTGTATTCCCACTCTGTAGCAGAACTCGTTGCTTATGTCCATGCGAGAATTTGGAAGATAAATTAATGATTGTATTCTGTTATATACAGCAGTTCTTCAGGTCGGCCGATACCACCTCCACTCTCTCTGGAATCTGGAAAGTGACTGACGCTCCCTGGAGCGCCACTGTACACTGTATGACGTGTATAAAAAAAATGCTTAATTTTAGTATTAAACTCATTAGTTTACAGTCGAGTCCGTTACACTGCAATACGCCATTTAGCACATTGCAGTGCATGGATCTTCTAACACATTGCAGTGTATGGATCATCTAACATTGCAGTGTATGGAACATCTAACATTGCAGTGTATGGATCATCTAACACATTGCAATGTATGGATCATCTAACACATTGCAATGTATGGATCATCTAACACATTGCAATGTATGGATCATCTAACACATTGCAGTGTATGGACCAACTAACATTGCAGTGTAAGGATCATCTAACATTGCAGTGTATGGATCATCTAACACATTGCAGTGTATGGATCATCTAACACTACAGTGTGTGGTTCTAACAAATTACGTACAGTTTATGGGTGATCTGACCTATTACAGTGTGTGGGCCGTCAATTACCATGATAATCTGTGGATCTGTTAGTGCTCTTGGCTTCCTTGGTTATCGTTTCGTCATTATCAGACAGCCAATAATAATTAATTATGAGATTTGAAAAAAAGAATAATAATGGAGTTATCATAGCAACATCCTCGTAAAAGGCAAATAGGACAACTAAAAAAAAAATCATAATTTTATTGGAGATATCTGCATCACCCTATCAGTAACAGACAATTATGATAAAATATCGTTGAAAAGACAAATGTTTTTCATATAAATGTAATATAGTTTGAATTAATCTTAGTCTGCCCGAAATGCCTAGTCATGCTAGGTGTGATAGTGACCCTCTCTGTAATTAGTATTTAATAATATGTAAACCACACATTGTAACCAATATCCTATAATATGTAAACCCAGCATTGTAATCTTTACAGAGAATAAACTTGATTGATTGATTACCAACAGAAGCAGCCTCAGTCAGGGGGTTAGTTAGTAATTTGTCTTATGTATTAAGAGAAAGTTTTGAAAAACTCTTCTCTTCACGCTTAATGAGTTATCTCTTAGTGCAAAAAGAGCCCCATTGGAAATAAGTCACTGATTTTTTGGGTTATCCTGGGTCCTTTACACATATGCTGCTATGCATGATAATATATAACTATTTGTGTATACCTGAATAAACGTAATTATTCTCAAGGATAAATTAGATGTATTTCAGTTGCTGTGCGATCCGAGAGAGGTATCCCCTGTGCGATCCGAGAGGTATTCCCTGTGTGATCCGAGAGAGGTATCCCCTGTGCGATTCGAAAGAGGTATCCCCTCTGCGATCCGAGAGAGGTATCCCCTGTGCGATCCGAGGGAGGTATCCCCTGTGTGATCCGGGAGAGGTATTCCCTGTGCGATCCGAGAGAGGTATCCCCTGTGTGATCCGAGAGAGGTATCCACTGTGCGATCCGAGAGAGGTATCCTCTGTGTGATCCGAGAGGTATCCCCTGTGCTTAAACGCACGCGACTGGAACGGTACAGACTGCAGGATAAGCTGATAATGCGGGTCAGTATTAGCTTTGAAGACTTGAAGGGAACCAGAAGAGACATTCACAAGTCATCACATGGAAACTAATACCAAGATTGTGGAAAATACTGTATATATTTACGGAAATACAGTATTTTATATTTAAATTGGTGGATTATATTGTATTAATAAAAATTATATTATAAAAAATGGGAAGCTCTGCGCCTGCACAGAGGCTCTCGCCATTGTGTTTTGATTGGAGTACAAACACTTTAATGTAAAGTGTATAATTTTCGTCGCTCTAGAGGTTATATTGGGCTGACACCTCTCAAATAGGAGCCGAATTGTTGTATGTGCATTTCTGCATAATTTGAGCATTAAATCGATGTACAGGACAGCTCCAGGAACCTTAGATAAGCTATCTAAATTATGTTTGTAATTCTGGCCAGTATTATCATCATAAATTTGGTTAGAGGGAGGTTTTTGAGTATTCTACACAGTAATCTCCAGACTAATTGGTGAGTGTTATGATTATAAATTCTCCTTCTGTTATATAAATGTGTATATGTAATCATTTATTAATTTTAATATACAGGCCACAAATTTCTATTATATTTACCAGAATTCCTGGTAATGTACATTTCATTTGTAATTAATATAGGTCTAGAGCAAATTGTGGATATGACAGTTGTAGGTATTGTAGGGGGACATTTTTGTGACCTAGGTGTCCCAAATTCCTATTTGTCTATGTAACTTTGATAAATAATAATTATCTTAGTTACCATTTACTGATATGTACCTTATGTTACATCCAAGTAAATGTAATTTTCCATACAGATTTTTCAATAAAAATAACAAATAATGATATACCACAGAAAAAAAAGATTCCCAATAAATTCCTTATATAAAGTATTAAGTTAATTAAGTTGAATTATTGTAGTATTGAAGTTATTCTGATAAGAAAAGTGTATTACACACCAAGAAATATCACTAATTTTGTAGTGTCCGTTAGTAATATTGTCGGATAATTAATTTTTTTTTATATTTTATTTAAAACATCATAAATTACAAGGTAGTATAAAATATTAAATACCACAATAATACAGGATCTGGACAAGATTACGAAGAATTATATCACAAGTGCAAGAGAAAAAATTTTGAAACACGCAAAATACATACACACCATGCACTGACACACATTATACAAAATGATAATATATCTGACACACACACAAAACTGTTGGAGGGGGGACCCCCCCCATGAAAACTGTTGGAGGGGGAACCCCCCCCCCCCATGAAAACTCATCTATAAATACACCCACATCATTCACACACGTATTGATCACAGCAATGATCAAACATAAATTTTTGTAACTTTATATATACATGCAACTGATTATGAGATTTAACTTAAGAACAAAGTCTGGTAATTATCCGTCAACATTACTCTATAACAACAATAAGCATTACACAAAATTACATAAGAACATAAGAACGAAGGAACACTGCAGAAGGCCTACTGGCCCATGCGAGGCAGGTCCAAGTCTCCTACCGGCTTAAGCCAATGCACCCAACCTAGTCAGGTCAGGTCACATTGACTTAAGGGAGGAACACGGCAACCGACCTGTTAGCACAAGCTATCAGGTCTAACTCACACCCACCCACATCTACTCATGTATTTATCCAACCTATTTTTAAAGCTACACAACGTTCTGGCCTCTATACGGTACTTGGGAGTTTGTTCCACTCATCCACAACTCTATTACCAAACCAGTACTTTCCTATACCTTCCGAATCTGAATATTTCCAAATTAAAACCATTGCTGCGAGTCCTGTCTAGGCTAGATATTTTCAGCAAAATTTTTACATCCCCTTTTTTTAAACCTGTCTTCCTTTATACCCCTCAATCATACCCCCCCAAATTTTACGTTTTTGAGAGTGCAGTTTCGGGGCCTTAGTCTACCTATGGGGAAGGTTTTCTGTACATGGGTTTCATCTTTGTCACCCTCCTTTGTTTTTTTTTCCAGAGTTTTTTAATCCATTCGTAATACGGTGCCCAAAACTGTGCGCAAAATCAAAATGGGGCTAACCAAGGATGTATAGAGTTGAAGAAAAACCCTGAGGACTCCTTTTATTTGCTTTTGTATGAACCCAAGGATTCTATTAGCTTTTTTGCAACATTATGCACTTTTGTCGGGGTTTCGAATGAAACCCGAACCCCAAAAATCTTTTTCGCATCCGTAATATTAAAATCTACATTATTTGTTTATATGTGGCAGGTTATTTTCCTGTCCAAATTTAGAACTTTGAATTTGTTATATTTTAAATGCACTGCCCCTTTTTCGACCCCGATCATCTATTCAAATCTTCCTGGAGTCTCGAAAGTTCCCCCGTAGAATGAATTCGCGGCCTATTTTGGTGTCATCGGCAAACTTGCCGATGTCGCTCTTTATGCCCTCATCTATGTCGTTTATGTAGATTGTGAACAGCAGGGGGCCCAACACTGACCCCTGTGGAACACCGCTCGTGACGCTTCCCCACTCTGATTTCTCCCCATTTATGCAAACTCTCTGCTGCCTATTTGTCAACCATGCCTCTATCCAGGAAAAAATTTCTCCTCCTATTCCATGTGCTTTAATTTTCCTCAATAGTCTCTGATGTGGGACCCTGTCAAAAGCCTTACTGAAGTCCATATACACAATATCATATTCATTACCATGATCTACCTCCTCAAATACCTAAGTGAAAAAAGTTAATAAATTCGTAAGGCAGGAACGCCCCTTTGTAAAACCATGCTGAGATTCGTTGATTAATTTATGCTTTTCAAGATGGCTACGAACTGCCTCGGCAATTATTGATTCCATAAATTTTCCCACTATGGAGGTTAGGCTTATTGGTCTATAGTTCGAAGCTAAGGACCTGTCACCTGTTTTGAAAATAGGTATCACATTTGCCATTTTCCACTTATCTGGCACCATGCCAGTTTGTAGTGATATGTTGAAAAGATTAGCCAAAGGTGTGCTAAGCTCCTCTTTACATTCCTTTAGAACCCTTGCATACAGTTCATCAGGGCCTGGGGATTTGTTAGGTTTTAATTTATCTATTTGCCTAAGGACCATGTCACTTGTGACCCTACTAGTGCACAGTTTATTATCGTCCTGTTCTACATAATTTATCATTACTGGAATATCGCTGGTATCCTCCTGTGTAAAAACTGAGAGGAAGTATGTGTTAAAAATTCTACACATTTCCTTATCACTGTCAGTGAGCTGACCCGAGGAACTTTTGAGTGGGCCTATCTTGTCCCTGATCTTACTTCTGTATACCTGAAAGAATCCTTTTGGGTTAGTCTTCGATTCTTTTGCAACTTTAACCTCATAATCTCTTTTTGCTTTTCTAATTCCCTTTTTTATTTCTCTCTTTAACTGAATATATCGATTTCTTAATTGCCCCTCTCCTCTTTTGATTTGCCTATATATGCCTCACTTTTGACCAATCAGATAT